AACTCCATTCATTGCAGCTAGTTGTCTGCCTAATTGTATCACATTCTGCGTCTTTGTGCTAGCATTCCCTGGGCAGCTAAAGGTTGCCAAAATCTCATCCGCCACATCAAAAGGGCCCTATTAACCCCTGACCCATGGTTGGTGTGTGTGGACAAGGTCGCTCCTCACACCCAACCGGGCCCATTAACACGTCGCCCCGCAGCAGAAGAACTATTTTGACGGGCTGTAATTGGTGCTAAGTGATGGTGGACAAAGGCCCCCTCTGTGCTGCCTACTGGACTGAGCAGTTCTGACCGCTCTCCGAGCTTCACGCTTGACATTTCTCTTCTGAGTCCAATGTGAGGAGAGAGGAACTGGGGAAGCCCCCTTCCTGGACAACCACCTCCTAAATTTCTTCATCTTTTCAACCCCCTTCCGTTTGCCATGGCGCTCCTTTGAAAATGTGTGATAATGAGGTTCTAGAGGGGAGAACAGGCTGGAGCAGCATTGCATGGTCAAGATCAGTGGAAGCTGATTAGTCCAATGGCAGACCATTCCTTTCAGAGCAACCCTAATTAGTTTATGTTAGCTAGTGAAGGTTAGGGGGCATGTTTGACTGAGGCCTTTTCTTTAAATGCCACAATGGTGTGATGATCTGTCGATGCAGGTGCAGCTTTCGGCTGCTTTTATGTTGCTAATCTACTTTGGGTATAGCTTGTACGGTTGAGCTGCAACATGGTGTAGACAATAAGGTCTTTTACCAGTGATTATATGACATTTATGAAAACTAGCCACCAGCAACCTAGTTTTTTTCTGTCTCAGCATTGATTAGTCATAAACTGCAAAATTAAAACTTTACAAAAAACCAGAAAGCACCTTAAATTTACATGCGATACTTATTATTTTAATACTAAAGGAAAGCCACAATGTCTGAACAAGCTAAAACTAGAGAGAAATATTTCATTGTCTAATTTGTAGTCCACCCAGTAGGTTGAGCTCTTTGACTGAATTATTGTCATTTCCCTGCCCCATTTCCATTGCCATTTACAATCACTGAATTTATGTTTGTCACAAATTACAATTCTTTCAATCTATAACTGCAATCCCAAATGCCCCATTGTTGTGTATAGTGTGAGTCCATGGAAACAGCCCTGTGGATCCAAGCCAAGGCTTCTCTTACACAAAACTCTATACTTAAGACAGGTCTAACTCTCTATCCCGTAGGCCATGCCATGCTCTCATCCCCGTATTTAACAGTCTGACGTCAGACAGGAGCAGAGGAGGCAGCAGAGGCGACTTTAATACTAAATCTCTCACCCTGTCATTATCGGCCTGTGTGACCGCCTATCAGGGGCCTGTGAGTGATGTGGGAAAGCCTGGGCCATGTCCTCCCAACTCCTGCAGACCAGGCCGCCTGCTCTGTCCAAACCAAACTGAAAAATAAAGGATAGGCACAGCTACAGCTGACATCAATGAGATGCTGGGCTCTTTATGCCCACTCTGTGGTTAGAAGGAGAGAAGCCTGTATATTAATCTCTTTCTAGTCTTTACTCTTATGTTTTCTTCCTCTTTTGCCTGCTTACCACACAAATGGTATTTCTGGGCCCTCCATTCCATTACTGCTAACTAAAACAAAGGCAGAGATTGTAGTTTCTAATATCTACTGCCTGTACAGTTTCTCTCCACTTCTAAAACACTTGCACAAAAGAAAAGAAGAATAGACGGGCCTTGCACCGTTACAGTGATGGATAGTCGGGTGTCAATCTAATGCCCAAGTAAGGTTTTAATGTTAATTTGCTCGATAATTGTTAGGTTGTTCCGTTTCAACTTGAGCAAATGAATCACTCTATGCTTCACATTCAAGACTTGAAAAAGCCAATTACAATTCATTCAACACATAAATGTTGGTAAATGGCCTGTATAACATTTTATCAAGTCAAGAGGACCTCAAAGCATTTTACACCACATTTAATCATTCACCCTGTTGAGAATAAATAATTCTGTGTCTTCCTCTATCTCTTTTAGCTATTCACATGCTCATATACACATACATGCATTCGCATAGATCACATGCGAGCAAAGGTAAAGCTAAACGAAACACCCTCACAGTTATGCACAACATTTTGTTGGTCTAACACATAAGACTCCAATAAAATAAATTGTAGTTTGTGGTTGTAGCATGAGAAAATGTAGTAAATTTCAATGGCTATGAATACATTTGCAAAGCACTACGGTGTGCTAATATAAAAATGCAGAAAATGGGGTCTAAAGCAACAACTGAACAAGTTGACTGTAAGTTGCCACACCATTGTCTTGACACCTGCGGTGGTGAAGAAAGGAACTAAAACATGCCAGCTGAGTCAGGCCAACGGGCCATGTGATGTGGGTCTTTATGAGAGGACACCTGCAGCACCCAGTGCCCCAGTCAGCTTTGTAAAAGCTTCGATACTGGGTGGGGGCAACAGGGGGCGAGCGACAGGGCCAGTCCCAGGTTTGGCCCTGAGGGCCATAACTATCACTCCAGTTCATGGGTTGCCTTTGGCCTTGCTAACTGTTCCATGAAATGGGCCCCAGAAACAGTGCAAACCTCCCAGAAACAGGCTGCTCACTGTTAACCAACAGTGAACTCTTTGTGTGAAAACTGTCAAAGCTGGCCTTTTCAGCACCGGTCCTGCCTTTCTTTTGAGTCTCAGCTGTGAGCAAACAAAACAGCCTTAAAGGTTTGCATGATGGTAAACTAGCTAGTCGGCTATTTGTATCTATGTTTGTGTCAGTGAGAGCAATGGGCTTTCTCTGTTCTGTCAGCTGGCCTTCGGAGGAGATGATAAGAGACAATTGTCAGACTTTAGCAAATACAAAGTTAATGTGCAGTATGTTATTTGTAGTATTCTTAATATGGTATATTTTCAGAAATAAAAAGACAGTAATAGTGTATATCGTCATATAAACGTTTGTTTCTTTATGCTGGCTAATCCTGCGGTACAGTAGAAGTGGTTTGCAAGTTTGAAAATCCTATTTGTTTAAGCAAATATTGTATGTGTTATTGGGTCTCTGTTTGCATGTAACAAGTTTCTGATTTGTTCCCTACATACAGTTATAGGACCAAAACAATGAAAATGATTCAAAACATTGAAGAAATATTTTTGTCACTCCATTACACAGAAATATAAAGCACAGTTTATTTCAAAAGATTTTGACAGTGTTGTCAGTGTTTAGTGAAAACAAAAGAAAACATTAAATGATATCTGTAGTAGGGTTTAATTTGAGGCTGAAATGGACCATCAAGTACCCCAGTGTTAATAAATCCCCCAGAAGCAATGTTCACTCTTACAGCTGCATGTAACACAAAGACGCTATACAGCATGGCTAAAATGAGCTACAGCTACAACTGTCATGGCATGAATAAATGCTTCAATATATTTATTAAGGTGGATAAACTCTGCAATAACAGCCTTTTTTTTAACTTTTTCTCCTGTTGGATGGAATGGAAAACCAGTAGCAGTGGGCTTAACCGCGTTTCACTTTGCATAATCGTTCCCAAGGTTGCCGTTTTTTACTTCTAGGCATTCTGAGCCAATATAATTCAATTTTTGTGGCAAGGCCAAATTTTTTGCAGCTCGGCTTTTGCCTCTAAACTAAGACGTAGTTTGGGTGAAGGAGGTTTGTCTTGCCGCCACCACTGCTAAGTAGTCAAAGCGATATTCAGATGCTGCTTCTCATCATACAGTCAACATGCAAAGTTATGAGAATTATAACTTCCTCTGGTGCACTATAAAGTATTTACCTAGAAACAAGGTGAACACACATAATCCTACGCAACAAGGTTTCATTACACCTAAATCAACATATTATTATGCACAAAGCTACATACTGGATGACTTGATGGTAATGTGACTGTTTACTACTTAGGAACAGATGACACAAACTAAATAGAGTCAAAGTCATTTACAGTTAGTTAAAATTCCCTGCTGAGAGGCCCTGTTAAAAGTTTCTTCCACAGACTTTGCTGGGAAATATTTGCAATGGTTTCCATCCAAATGTGGGTCACTCAGTTCTGCATTCACGGCACAGGTGAGCTGGACCAGGTTTGTTTGGCTTTGGTCATTGGCTGTCCTTTCCTTTCCACAGGACTGGGAAAGCAGCACCACAAACAGCTTGAGACAACAAGAGATGCTTTTGTCCGGCTTACCACAGCGAAATGACACCGCTAATCTGCCTGCTGCCAATGTTGTCCAGGTCTCCTCGGACAGTCCCTAGGGGCCACAAGACCTGCTGCAGGCCAGTCAAAGACAGGCAGGAGAGTGAGAGCCCTCAGGAGAATAGGTAACACTGACAGCCAGTCATTCTGCAGTAGCATGCAGATGAAAACAACTTCTTTCATATGCCATGTTTTTTGGCTCCCAAGCCTATAATCATGCATGATTAGCTTAAGAACTCAATTCCGAGCTGGGTCTATTTCTTATTCCTGTCACACTGTCAGAAAATATATTTACCTACCATTTTCCCAACTGTCTCAAGACATGAAGGAGGCTTGAATGATCCATGAAAATTACGTTGGTGTGTGATATTTATTTTAAATATTAAAAGCTACCTTTCAAAATGTGACATTTAGAAATGGAGAACTGATGTTATGATCAATTTTAAATTTGGATCAAATTGTTGAGATCTGAATGGTTAATACTTATTTTATAATTTGCTCAATTTGTCAAAAACAGTTTTGTTCAACAATGCAATATCATCCAAGTGATTCATTAGATCCTTCCTCCCAACCCCAACCGTTCAATCTCCCAACATTTAGAAGATGTTATTGATCAGGTTAATCAGGATCAGCTGGTGCTCAGAATCAGTCGGTATTCCACTTTACCAGTAAGTGATTGGTGATCAGCCAGCCAGAAATTTAAAAAAATCAATTTTTTCCCTGCATATCACTTGTAATTTGTAACATGTCACAGTAAGTACAACACTCTTCAGTGTGGAAGTTGTTACTGAAGAAAGAAGAATCAGTTCAGAGGTCAAACTTGCATCAAAAGAAGAGTAAAAGCTGATACAAGCATGTAGAAAGGAATTGGAGTCCTACAAAGGCTGCCACTGGATTGAAACAGAAAAATAGATTAAATTAGAAGCAAGCCTGAACCTAGTACAATAAAGTCCATAATCCAGTCCAATTTTATCTGTGATGAAACATTTTAGGTTCTGTGTAAAACTAGCCACTCTCTCTCCCACAGAGAGTGATGTCTCTCCTGGTTCTGAACACGGTGGTCATTCATTACAAATTGATTCATAAGACTAAACTAACAGTTCAACGAAATTAAGGGATCTGCTAATAACAACACAAATCAAACTTTTTTTCTTAGATATTATTTTGTCAAAAATGTTGGTATTACAAATGAGTAAAGGAGATATTATTTTAGCTATGTTTGAAACCTCTGTTAACTCTCACCTTGTCTATAGATGTCTAGTGAGGCAGGTCTGTGTCCTGGTCCTTTTTTCAGAAAATTTATATTTTATAAAGAGCAAAAAAAAAAAAAGTTAACAAGTTTGCCTGACTACAATTCACTAGAATTAATAAATACATTACTTAAAGTTTGTATCTTTGTCGCCATTTGTTTTCTGCTTTTTTGGCTTATTTAAAATCCGTACCTTTTTTATGACTATTTGCAATGAATCTTTCAAACAAAGTAAAATTTTGTTCTCAGGTCCAGTTGTTTTCTGCTATCGACAGCAGTCACCTTAAGGTTGTCTTGCTGCTCCTTGCCATTATTCTTCATGTGAAAAATATCCACAGTCAAGTCTTTTTCTCTCTATACCCATCAGAGCACTAAAACTGCTACATATATTGTTTATTTGTATTTTTAAGGGGAAAAAAAAGAAAACCGGTGTATTGTGAAACTCTAAAGGTGTCACTCTTTAAAACATGTAAGATATATTCCTGGATTTTATCACCTTTCTAAAGGATATGCTTATTATGAAAACCCAAAATTGAATAAGACAGCCATACACAGCTGCTGGTCTAATTTGCTTTAAGCATGTACAAATAGGACGGCCCACAGTGACCATAAAAGTAGAGTGGAGGTTTTGCTCAACGCGGCACTTTTGTCTAACCAGAGGCACAGGGACGCCTTCCAACAAACAAACAGATCACAAAAGGAAAAAGTAGCAAAAACACACACAGGGACTCTCTCACATGATAGTTAGAAATACAGCAAAATAACTCAAGAGGCTCACAGTCCTCTTTTGCAGCACTGTTTGCTAATAAAAAAATTCTATACATGTTAAAAATGTGCAATTGAGCTTTGTTGACTTTTTTAGGAGAGCGTCGTCTACACATACTAAGAATATAAATACGGGAAACTTAAAAGTATTCATACTGCCTGAACTTTTTCACATTTAATTGAATCCAAATTACAGCTACAAATATATCACATTTTTCATTAGTTGGTCACAGACCAGTGCTTAACTATGAAGTGAAAGGAAAGTGAAACCTGATTTTCAAATCGTGGCGTACATTTGGATTCAGCCCTTTCAAGTCAATACTTTGTAGAACTGCATTTTGATGCAGTTACTGCCACATGTCTGCTGGCATATACATCTGCAAGCTTTGCAAGTTTAGCAAAATTGTATTCATTGCTCTTTGTTGAATAAACTATGCTCAGGCAGCTTGACTGGAGAGGGTCAGAAAATTACATCAAGCCTGCTAAACATTTTTCACTTGATCTTACATTTGAACTTTGGATCAGTCTAACACTATGTTTCACAGTGAGATGGTGTCTTCAGGGTGGTGTGCAGTGAGAGTTTTGCTCTCACTGCATGCTTAGTTTTGGTCTAATTTGATCCGAGCCCGTTCTTCCACGTTTGCTCTATCCCCTTTGACACACTTTAAACTGCATTTCTTCATAATTACCGTTTTCTTGCTACTTGTCATACTCCATTACTCTGTGTTAGTCTACCACATAAAATATATCACAAAATTGAAAAGTTCACGAGGTGATGAATACTTTTGCCACACACTGCAAAAGCCTGTAATTTTAGGCTTTTGTGATAAATATTTTCTGAGCCCCTATGTATATATTTTTACTACATTTTCAGAGTTGTTTCTCAGCTTAAAACTGGCACCAATGTACCTCCTGTGTGTTGTCTATACAATTTATTGCACCATGAAAAGTTTTATTTGCTCTTGAACCATTTGCTCTGGAAACCCCCTGTGGATACGATGTGCCTTGTACATTTATATAAGTACACACTATGTTCCTGCACATTAATAGACATCCAAGGAAATATGCAAAACACACACAATCACACACGCACACACAGCTGGATGTATATCTGGGATTTCCCTTTAGATACCGGAAAAATAACCAACTTCAAACAGTAAACTAGGTGCTAATGAACTGGATCCTGACAGGGTTTACTTTCCGCTAGCAGAGACCCAACCCACAATGGATCTATTCACGGGATCTCAGCCATGGAAAGTGTTGGTAAAGTAATCTCGCTAGAGTTTATGTGACCTTTTCTAACTCTCAGTACCGTTTTCTGTCCTCAGGCCTTTAAGGTCGGGCCAAAAACAACACCAACCTGCATCAGCTGATACAAGCAAAGGCTACCTATTTTGTGTACCAAAATGGCACCCATTCACAACTAGTTTGCAGACTGATGCGGGGAGGAAAGGAGCACAACGCCCTGCTTCCTGCTACGCCGCACCTGTGAATTCAGTCACGGTTACTCCACGCTTACTTGTTTCTTCCAGGAAAGGCCATAGCTGGGGGGCATCTGACTGCTTTCATGAGCATTCAAGAACCTTTTAAGAAGAACCTGCAACAAAAGGAGACAATTTATAGGAAACAAAGCATGGACTGTTCTCCACAAACCTAATAAAAAAAAATAATAAAAAAAAAATCACAGTGCTACATATGGCTTTATTCAACAAGTCTTCAGATTGGAAATGTCAGCAGCTGCTTCAAACTTTCAGGCACACCTGCTAAAACTAACAAAGAAGGACAGAAAGAGCTTTTGCTATAAAGGACACTGAAATTATCAGCTGAAAATGTCATCCCTTCATGTCTGCGTCTCTGTCTGAGGTACACAATTACAATCAATCCATAAGTCTCTGTTCATTCACATATTTCTTATGCTTTAGGCAGCAAAACATAAACAATATGAAATACAGTCAGTGACGGATAAAGCTATACTCTGCTATGAAAGCTGTTTTACAGTAGCCACTTTTCAGAAAGAAGCACAATATTTAAATACCTGATATCCTGTTCCAAACCACACTTCAGAAAAAAAGCCTCTCTTTTAAATGTGAGGGTCACACTGCACTGACAACCTGCATTTATGGCTATCTGACCTGACACCATGAAAAAGTTTTATTTCTATCTGATGTTCCCAAGCAAAGATAAGGCCAACATGGAAGAAAAAAAAAGTTAAATTTGATGGAAAAACCAAGATAAATGCACAAACTTGTATGTTTCAGCTTCAGTTTTGAAATCTATTGAGAATATGGTGGCTCTTGGCCTCGTATGTGAACACATGCTCGTTTCCATAATGAATAAAATAGCCTTTCTCCAGAGACAGTCCTTCGTCACAGTCCATCTGAGGAGAAGTATGAAGTCAGGCAAATACTAGCACTATTATAAACTTGATTGATGGAGCTTTTTTCTTTATTTTGTGTAGAACATATATAGGAGTCTGCAGCATAAGAATAAAACAATTTTCATGAAAGAAAAGTAGGAAACAGACACGCAATGATTTTTACAGCTTCAAAGAACGAAACTGAATCCGACCTGTAACGCTTTCCAGCCCATAAGGCAGTGTAGCTTTGTTTCCCCAGAGCCCTGTGCTGTCAAGAGCCGCACTTCAAATACTGCTTCTCATGGTTTCTGACCCCCTCAGCCTTCATCCCCCTGGACAGAACCTGTGAGGGTATTTTGGACCGTATCCAAGGAGATGCAGGAATTGACGTGAACCGAGTATATAAGGTCAAGGTGAGTGGTGCTCAGTAACGCTATGAAAACTACACCTTTGGACAATATTTACCCCTAAAATCCACATTAGGTTTGATAGAGAGCCCTACGGTCACGTGTCAAATAGAACAGCGAGGTAAGGCGGGGGGTTTTTAATATATCCATTTCTCAGTTTCATCCATCCCACTTATCCAGTATGTGCCTAAAAGAATAAATCCCCCCCCGACCAACACCCCCAATTCACCTAACCCCCAAAGTGTAGGGCTCTGCAGCATGAATGGAGCATTGTGATGCTTCTCCGTCACGGCAGTGAATGTTTTCACTTCCATTTGATCCGTCGGCAAGGCTGCTAATTGGGTAAGCGTGTTCCCAGGTCACCGGGAGGTTTCTCTTTCCATAAATACAGAGCGCCAGCGAAGGCTTCTACAGATGTTGTTTCTCACCCGCTTCCAAGTGGGTTCAGACCAGCTTCAGGTAGTAGATGTAATTTATTGTGTCTGAAACCACACTCCAAAAGTTTTCCTTTCCTCGCTCTCCATCATCCCAAAGAGTGCAGTTTATCATTGTCCCAGGCACTGAAATAATGTTCACTATTGTCCTTATTCTTGCGCTTGAACTCTGTGTACCAAGTTGCCAGCTGAATCCCTGGTGGGATGATGACGTGGACGTGCTCTCCAGATCTTAAGGGCCCAAATTACACTATTTTCCATGTGCCGTTACATCAGTGTCAAGGTTTATGAGGTTCAAGGTTTATTTATTTGTTTTGTCATGGAATTTAAATTTCCTCTCTTACGCAAGCACTCAAGACAACCGTATGTGCCAGCACTAAACACAGCAAAGAGCAGAAAGCTCAGACACATTCACAGGCACGTTTGCTACTCCCGTTCTGTAGGGTGTGGTCAAAATGGTCAAATTGTCAGAGAGAGTGTCCTTGAACTTGAGCGTGTCTCTGGTGAAGTTTGTGTGTTGGCGAGCAACCACGAAGCTATGGTGTCCTTGAATACTCACCAGTTCTAGGAGTTGTTGTTTTTTTCCCCCAGCACTGGCACTGAAGATTGTCCTTCCTGTACAGGGAAAAAATGAAATAGAAAATCACACACACACACACACACACACACACACACAAAGTTACAAAAATGTTTATGGAGATGCTTGACTAATCTCAAAAATCACAATCAAGATGGTTAACTTGTTTGTGTAAATACACATGATCTCCATAACCGATTGTTTTTTGTATTTTAATGTAAAGGGATTTATAGGAAGAAACAATATTATCTTTATACAGACAAACCTGTGAATAAAAACTGTTCATCCGTCTCAAAGTAAGAACAGTGAATATGAAGGAAGCTGCAGGGTTGCCCTGTTACTATTGGAAAACAAGAAAACTTCCACTAAAATGTTGATACTTGGGTCCCTTCAGTGACTTTTGTATGAGCTAAAGGCGCCACCATGTGGTTGAAAAATGAATAAATTCACAATGTTTATTCAGGTCTCTCTAAAAGAGTGGGCAAGTGCAAAATGTTTGACAGATTTATGTATAAAGGGAAGTTTTGCTATTTCGCAAGAATACAAACTAATTATTCACCAGAATTTTTATAATAATCAGCTGCACTAGTGGGAATATTATAACAGTTCAAACTCATTTTCGTCATTACTATGCATCATATTCAATGCAACAATGTGCAACATTGTTTGACAATGCATACCCAGTGAGGTAAATGCAGAAACCAATGCAAACGTATTTTATTACAGGAATGCTGTGCTTATGTTATGAAATAAAAATAATAATACTGACAACCGTGCAGAGGAAAGTCATACCACAAAGTAAATAATTCACCAAAGTCATTTCTGGAGAAGCTGGTGGCTCACACAGAATATAACCCAAATATATTCATGGAACCTTGAGTCTGTAATCAACAAAATTTGAAGACATAAAATGCTTGAAAAAAATAAATCTGCATGTCATGAATCTGTGTAATCAGTGAATCTGTGTGAATCAGTAATTTAGTTGCTGAAATTAACGGCCTTTTTGATTATTTTCTAGCTCTCTGAGGAGATCTGGAGGGTAGAAATTTCACTTGAGTACAAGGAAATGCATAAACTCTGTGACATTCCCAACCTAAACCAGAAGGTGGCCCCCTCGTCACATGTATTAACATAAAAAGAAATTACTACAACATCGAAACAAAAACAATATATGACTGGTATATTATCTGTGGGGAAACAAATGCACACACAGCATCAATGTGACTTAAGTGTTATTGTTTATAAGCAAGCAATATAATATGGAAAAGATTAACTGAAGTGATTCATGGGATTTATTCACTGAAGAAGGTGTGGGCATTAAGAAGGTGGGCTGACTTGGCTGAAGTTAAACATTACTCATCCTATTGTAGGCTTTTCTCTTTCAAAAACAATAAGAGTTTTCAACCTTTCAGTTCCTCCAGTTTAAAGGTGTGAATTCTAATTGCTTTGCGTTTCATATACGCCAAAGAGAAAACCATTTAACTTCAATAAAAACACACTTTAAAATACACGGCAAATTTATGCTGCCGTTTAGCCATGTTCAGTTCATACAAATTAGTATATGCTTCTTCTTCACAAATGGTACGTGTGTTGTCTTTTTTTACTAGATAAAATCCCAGTAATTGAGATCTTGCATTACAAAGACATAACTTGAGAAGAAAAAGATTCATCAAACCAATCATTTTAAAATTATATCCAAACAGTTAGAATTTGAAGTCTAAATCAGAGTTGTATTTCAGTTTTTTGTTGTTTTTTTTAATGATAAAATACATTGCAACAGTGTTGTAACAGTGTATGAGTTACAACACTTATACAAAAGCTGCTTTGGTATTTATCGAGCCCAAAAACTGGATCTTTGGGACAAGACTGTCGTTTAGCCAAACATTAGGTTCTGTAAGTTCATAAGTGTCACCCATGGTGGGGTAACATGAAGCTTCTGGTTTTAATGGGCACATTTTCTGAAAAACTAAATTTAACTTTTTTTTAATTATTTAGTAAAAGTCATAGGCTAATAGTAAATATTAGCTGAAACTTATGTTTCAAATGCATTGCTCAATGTGGGTTTCACTTTATTACTCAACTGCAACTTTTTGAAGTCACAATTTTCTAGTTTATTGATATCGATATGTAAGAGCTATTTAGAAAACCCACATATAATTATTATGTTTTTAATAACAGTATGAACAGTTAATTGCACTTTAGGCCAATACACTTCCTTTCTACATATTACCTATGTGTTTTGATGTGTTTCAAGCTAGGATTAAACTCATTCTCACCTTTACCTAGTACTGTCCTGACTTTGTTTAACTTACAGAAAGTGTTTGGACTCGAATGACACTGCTTTTAAATAAACTCACCTTTGTGACTCGTTACTCATCTCGGTAACGTGTCTGTTTGGTCACTTCCTCTTACGTTTCCACCTCCTCTCCCTTTCCTACCTGTCTCAACTGGGCGTGTTTTTCCTTTTTTTTTTTTTTTTCTTTTCTTTTTTTTTTTTTTTTTTTACTTCCGAGGGACCTTTATTCCCCGATTCATTTCGCTTGATAAGAAATATTCTAAGAATAGTTCACCGGCCGAAAACGTAAGCTAAGGTAAGAGCTCTTTCATATTCAAAGTAACTTCGACGTAACCGCGGTGGGAATAACGTCCCCCCGTTATGTGTAGCAGGGAATACGCAGCTGCCTTTGATTAGAGCGGGACTCCTCCACACCTGAAGCTACATCGTAGGTGTCGTGAATCGGAGTCAGGCCAACAGAAGAGGAAGTACAAGCGCGTTACTGCTAGTTTTTAAGCCTAGTCTGGAACTTCGTATTATGTTCTTGGAAAATGAAAATTGTTCACGTGGAGTTTTACTGGCGTCAAAGATTGGCTGTAAAAGAAGATTAATAGTTCTGAACATCTCTTACGCGGTGTTTGTTATGTATAGTTCTACTTGTGTGTCATTTGCTTTGTAGAAAAACAAAAATATTTGATAAGTTGGTATTGGAGGCATCACCAAGTAGGACAGGACATCCATAATGTTCTTTTCAACCTCTTTTTTTCTTTTTCTTTTTTTCTTTGGCTCTTTTCCTGTTGCTAGTGCAATATTCTGTGTCCCAATTCATCATGCTCAAACACATCTCAACAAGCCTTCCCACAGCAGGCTCACTCTTTAAAACTGTACCCTGCAGCTGCACACACTACAGCAGCACAAAGAGAATAGAGTGTGTTCATTAAATGTAGCCTCCTTGCAGTATAGTTCCACACAGCACTCTCTTCCAGTGAGCTGTGTGGGACAAGATGGAAACAACGATGATCACATTGCTCTAGGTTGGGTTGTGTCTCTGTGTGTGTGTGTGTGTGTGTGTGTTTACTCACAGTGTTTCAGACATCTGATTAACAAAGCCTGGTGCAATGTGGGCTGATTGTTGTTTTCTATGTTCCCTCTTGCACCAGATTCGTGTCCCTGCTTGTCACATTCCACAGTCAGGCCCTCTGTTTTCCTCGCCCCCATCCGTCTCCCCCTACTTGCACACTTCAAGTCTTTCGTTTGTTCTCTTCTTAGTTTATTTAAAATCAGTCAATTGTCCAGTAGATCTGTACCCTTTTGGAAAGGGAATTCTGTAGCTTTATCTCCCTTTTTTTTTTTTGTTTGGTTGTACCACCCTACTTGTATGTTACACTGCTATTAAAATGTATTGGCTAATACTGGAGTAGTTAAGGGGGGCTGCAGTATCATTGCAGAGACATTGCAGTACAGTGAGACAAAGTTGTTTCACAAGAGGCTGGATACAGACTGCATGCGTCAGTGGTAATGTTAAGGACATTTAATCCACTAACACTGGTTTTTTTTTTTTTTTTTTAGCCTAAGGCATTTCATATTTGCTTCCATACAAAATATCTCAAGGAAAGACATATTTTATTGATGAAAACCTGAAATCTTAGTGTTTTTTATTTTATTTTAATAGTAAAATAATAAAAAATCAATCCCAAAGTACATAATATTTTTTTTTCACCTTCTCTATGTCTTTATAACCAGGCCATGATCAAAGGTTCAGCGATTGAAGAAAAACCATGGCAGCTGTCGGTTCAGGTGGATCAGAAACAAGGCGACGAGACCATGAAATTCAAACTCAGTGTGACAGGTGACTTGCACATCGGAGGACTCATGCTGAAGCTGGTGGAAAAAATTAGTAAGTGTCTAAGATCAATAAGAAATTGAACAAGCTATGTTGATATTTATATAGCTAAAAAAAACCAAAAAAAAACCTGCAGACATTCTTTTAAAACTGCTTGTGTTCACCATTTAGAACTTAATTTGGTTCTCATACATGTGGTGTTGAATTTGGCTTGTATCTGCTGCTGCTGCTGCAACAGCTGTGTTTGTCAAGCCACGCCTTTGTTTGCACTGCGTTTCTCTACAACGCCGTGCAGTTGTTCAATCACAATGCATCGGCATGCGTAGCCTTAGGGGGCAAAGGGTATCCAGAGCCTTATCTGGTTTCTTCTCGCAGTCCTCTGTAAACATAGTGGAGCTCATGAATGTAATAAATGAGGGGACTTTTTTTTCAGGAGGTGGTTTAAAAATCATGAGACATAAGCAGATGACTAAACGTCACGTCATCAACAGATGGATTTAAGCCCAGTATTACAAGATGATATCAGGTAGACTCATTAAACCACACCACCTACACACCAGTGGGTACAAAGAGTATTTCTGCTGCTAGCAGTTTTAAAGCGCAACTCCAAATAATGAGCGGGTCAAATAAAGAGTGGTAATTCGTGTAAACTAGCAGGCTGGGCAAGAAGTCTCGCCTAAATTCCGCCTCAAGTCAAGTACAGGACACACCAAAGCAAGAAGGTTTTCTTTTCAGACGAGGCCAAGATGGGAACTTTTTGACATATGTGAACGGCTATGTGTGGTTGAAAACTAACACCGCACACCAGCCTGAACTCCTCGATCCACACCACAGAATATTGTGGCAACATTATGCCACGGATATATGGAAGTTGATCTATGAAGGATGACCCTACGAAGCTGAGGGGGTCATCCTGGTTGAAACTTGTTAGAAGCTGCAACTTTTGGCAGTATAATGACCCAAATCACACACCTAGAGCTACAATGAAATGGTTTATATACAAGCATTTGTGTCTGAACGGCCGAGTCAATATTTATACCCACAGTTAGAATCTGTGGTTAGTAAATTGATTTTCACATGTCCTTTCCTTCCGGTTTGACTGCACCAAAGGCAGATGTGCGAAAGTTGTAGAGACACACCCGAAAACTCTTGCACCTGCAGGAGCAAAAGGTGGTTCTGCAAAGTACTGACTTAGAAAATAAGGAAACAATGTATCACTTTATTCCATCTTGACAAATGTGCACTACTTTGTGTTGGTCTAGCACATGAAATCCAATTAAAGTACATTGAAGTTAGTAATGTGACAAAATGGAAAGGTTTTGTAAAGGATTATAAGCAATCCTTTACACAATTTTGTATAGGATTTTTTAAGTTATGCCCTGATCCAGATTTCACTGAGTTAATAAATAATTTGAACTACTAAACTAAATGACTAAATGACCCTCATTTATACAAGAGGTAAAAGGATTTCAGATCCTACATGTTATTCTGCAGATAAAAGTTGCATGACGGTAAGATTAAATCTAGATTATGCGTTTGCCTACAGAGACTCAGCAGGACTGGTCCGATCATGCGCTGTGGTGGGAACAGAGGAAATGCTGGCTGCTCAAAACTCACTGGACATTGGACAAATGTGGGATCCAGGTAAACCGAATGAGATAGCAATTCACAGTTCCTGCAGTTCCCCTGAAGTGTGTGCAAGCAGTCAGAGACCTATCTCCTTGGGAATGTCTCTTTAGTCAAAGCATAATAGATAAATCCCGTGTGCACTTGCAGGCTTGAAATGTGTGGAGTTGTTATTTATAGCTGACCTTGGAGGCTGCTAAGCAAAATCATATCCACCTTCCAACAGAGATAGCTCATTTATAGCCGTTTAATGGAGCAAGAACCGTCTCGTGTTGACATTTATGTCCCAATTGTTCTACAGTGGTTGTTTAGTAGCGCACATAAATAAAAAAAATAAAATGTTTACCATGGCAAACCCATATATTTCAAATAATTCCAAAATGAAATTCAATAAATATGTTTGAGAAAAGTTTATTTTTGTTTTTTCATCTAAACTTTGTGTGACTTTCGTCCACAGGCTGATGCCATTCTGCGCTACACTCCCCAGCACAAACCACTGTTGCTACAGCTGCCCAATATGAAAACCATCAGAATGACAGTCTCCTTCTCCAACATGGTGTTCAAGGCAGTGGAGGAAATCTGCAGAATTCTCAGTTAGTTTTATGTGGTTCCTGAACATGGGATTTTCCTGTCCTAATAAAAAAAAGAAATATCAGGACACATTCTACTTTGCATATTCTTCTTGATCGCTCACAACTTCTCTTCTTTGCTCGATTGTAGACATCAGACGATCAGAGGAACTCTCTCTGCTGAAGCCTCCCGAGGATTGGAGCAAGAAGAAAAAGAAGAAAGACAAGAACTCTCCTCAGGAGGACATCTGGGACATATGGGACGCACTTAACGTAGGACAGGGAGGAACAGGTACTTCAGATTTTATATGCTGGAGCACATTAGGTTCTGCTCAGGTGCAACAGGATAGCAACAGGAGAGCATTTATGTCTAAAGGACACTTATCTTTTCTTTCAAAACAGAGCAATAAATCTATATTTAAATCCAATAAATGTGTAAAAGCTTGACTAAATGATGCTCTGGTGTCTAAATTCAGCATTACTGATCAACAGAATTCTATGAGGTTTTTGGGTTTTTTTCCTTTCCTTTACACAATTTATGCACCAAGACTCAACCATAGCTGAGTTTTGGTTTGTAACAATACTTTATGAATAGTCTTATTGGAAGAAACCAAAACTGAACATGCAGAACATACTTTATTTCCCACAATCTCACTGAGACTTTTTAATGAATTAGGCCCTCTGTACAATAAGACGATGACAGCAACCTATGACCCAGAGAACGGGATGCCCATGTCTGCCACCAGCCTATGGTTTGGAGAAAACCCCTTGGCTGAGTCTCAGCCAAACCTACCGCCTGCGGAACTGGGCAAGATATACAAGCCGCTGTCGCTTGTAGACAAAGCAGAGAACAACGCAGGGTATAATTGGAAACCTTTCTGCTCGACGTATTAGTATTTTTTTTATCCCCCACATCATCTGACTGCTTGTTGTGATCGACAGGTGGCTCGACTCGTCTCGCTCACTCATGGAGCAGGACATTCAGGATGACGACAAGCTGTTACTTCGCTTCAAGTACAATGTCTTCTTTGATCTCAACCCTAAAGTAAGATGGTGTTTTCCATTAGGGGACGGGGGGAAACAAAAACAAAACAACAAAAAAAAAAGTGTAAACCCGAGGTCGTCGTCTG